ACAGATGGGTGGACAGATGGGTGGACAGATGAGGGGACAGATGGGGGGACAGATGATGGGACAGATAATGGGACAGATGAGTGGACAGATGGGTGGACAGATGGGTGGACAGATGGGTGGACAGATGGGTGGACAGATGAGTGGACAGATGAGTGGACAGATGAGTGGACAGATGAGTGGACAAATGAGTGGACAAATGAGTGGACAAATGAGTGGACAGATGAGTGGACAGATGAGTGGACAGATCATAGAATAGGGTGGGGATACCATTACATAGGTGAGACAGATCACAGCATAAAGAAGGAAGATGCACTACAACAGGCAGGAAAGATCACATGTGGTCGAAAGATCATAGCACAGGGTTGAAAAGGTCATCTTTGCATACAGATTTATCATATATGTAAGTATGATATTAATCACCTAATTAGACTATAGATACTCATAATGACTCTTTAAGGAAACAATTGTCCATTGTCCCTTGTAATTGTATACAATTATTTTGAGTCTTCATTTTCAATGAAATTCATATTTTGTGATTTTTCAAAATGGCATCATTCACCAAGTCTCTGCTAGATTTTGTTAGATGTTGTAAAGGTTTAGTTTGACATGCACATCAGCAAACAGGTAGGCAGGTATTAACAATATCAGTGTTTGCGTCCTTGTACACTGACAACATTCTAGATCCTGCTTTCAGGCAGTAATATTTACAATAATATGGTAATTAAACAGTAATTAAGAGCAGAATAATTCAACAAACACAAGGTACTTGCCTTTCCAAGAATAAAATGAACATCTGCAAACTGATGGCTTTCCAGCAATCTACCTAAATCATCTCTCAGCGTACATTTCGGATAAGAAGAGAACTAAAAAGAAAAATAATTATATTTCAATTACATTGCACAATAATTTCAAATAACTGGCTAGTTAATTCGCTGATATGGCTAGCTAATTCGCTGATATGGCTAGATATAGCCTGGTGATTCGATGATATGGCTAGCTAATTCGATGATATGGCTAGCTAATTAGATGATATACTAGATATAGCCTGGTGATTCGCTGATATGGCTAGCTGATTTGCTGATATGGCTAGCTAATTAGATGATATGGCTAGCTGATTAGCTGATATAGCTAATGATTAGCAGATATGGCCAGCTGATTAGCTGATATAGCTAGCTGATTAGCAGATATGGCCAGCTGATATAGCTAGCTGATTTGCTGTTATGGCTAGCTGATTAGATGATATGGCTAGCTGATTAGCTGATATAGCTAGTGATTAGCAGATATGGATAGCTGATTTGCTGTTATGGCAAGCTGATTAGCTTATATGGCTAGTTGATTCGCTGATATGGCTAGCTGATTCGCTGATATGGCTAGCTGATTAGATGATATGGCTAGCTGATTAACTGATATAGCTAATGATTAGCAGATATGGCTAGCTGATTAGCTGATATAGCTAGCTGATTAGCTGATATGGCTAGCTGATTAGCAGATATGGCTAGCTGATTAGCAGATATGGCTAGCTGATTAGCAGATATGGCTAGCTGATTAGCAGATATGGCTAGCTGATTAGCAGATATGGCTAGCTGATATAGCTAGCTGATTTGCTGTTATGGCTAGCTGATTAGATGATATGGCTAGCTGATTAGCTGATATAGCTAGTGATTAGCAGATATGGATAGCTGATTTGCTGTTATGGCAAGCTGATTAGCTTATATGGCTAGTTGATTAGCTGATACGGCTAGTGATTAGCAGATATGGCTAGCTAATTTGCTGATATGGCTAGCTGATTAGCTGATATGGCTAGCTGATTAGCTGATATAGCTAGCTGATTAGCTGATATGGCTAGCTGATTAACAGATATGGCTAGCTGATT